CGGTGGCGAGGACGTCACAAGCAGCTGTGAGTAACATGATGCAGTTTCTCCATGTACCCTGTACATGTTCTTTCCCTTTCCGCGTGTCTTAAAAATGTGAATCATACACTCAAACATCATTTGCATGTACAGATTTACCAATACACTGTTTATATTAGTGGGTGTGACATCAGGCTTACACACCTCAACATTACCAGGCCAAGTGCAGTTACACAAATCTGACATCATACTTTACTTTTATACCCATTGTCCTTGCACAAGTCGTCCACTGTCATGCTGTATGAATGCCAGTGCAGTTTTCACTCACATCCAGCCTATCATTAAAAAAAATCACAAGTGAGATATTTTTTTTTATTCACTTTTCATACTTTAGAACATATTGCCAAAGAATTGCAATATTTTCTTTGAAATAAAAATTATTTCATCGTTAAATTATAATAGTTTGTAAAATTGTAAATTATAATATTATTAAATTAAATAATAATAGTATTAAATTATAATAGTAAAATAGTTGGAGGTCAGTAATTTTTTTAAGAAATTAATACTTTATTCATCAACGATGCATTAAATTGATCAAAAGTGACTGTAAAGTCATTTATCATGTTACAAAAGATTTCTGTCACAGAATATGTGATGTTCTCTTGAACTTTCTATTCATTGAAGAATCCTGAAATTACACTTAGCACATTTTATGTATTACTTTTACACAAAAATATTAAGCAGCACAACTGTTTTAAACATTAATAATAATAATAATTCATGTTTCTTGAGCACCAAATCAGCATATTAGAATGATTTCTGAAGATTCACGTGACACTGAAGACTGGAGTAATGATGCTGGAAATTCAGATGTAAAAAATGTAGTAATATTTCCTAATATTACAGTTATTACTGTACTTTTGATCAAATAAATACAGCCTTGGTGAACATTAGAGACTTAGAAAACATTCAAAATCTTACCGACCCCAAACTTTTGAATGGTAGTGTTAATACAGATTTGCCATGATACCAAAGTCTGCAGTCAAGCGTCTCAGATTTCAGTAATCCTCATCAAAACCTTCCTAAATCATAAGCAATGGACATTGTAGCTCTATAATCGTACTGTACATCAACAGTCATCTCATTTGTTTGCATTAGTATTTCTGAGACTGATTTCTGATTTCTTTTAAACTATGAAAGAGCAATGTTTTTCTTTCCTTTACAATTCAAGAATTACTTTGATGTTAATATTGTTGCCATTTGCTATTATGGATTATGTTTATTGTCTAGAGTTGCACTAGTAAAATTTTGTTTGTTATTCGTGATGTATTTTGTCTGACTCGTGTATTTATCATGTCTGATAGACTTCAATTTTCCCATGAAATCAGCTGCTGTCTATGGTGTGCGTAATAAAATCGTAACAATTTACGAGTGCTTTGTCCTTTAATGCCTCTTGTGTAAGAATCGATGTCAACACGAGGCATGTTTAAATCCCGTCTCGCTCTCGCATTAAGACCGGTGGGCGAACGAAATCCCTTCATGCACGCAGAGTCAAAATTTCCTCACACAATGATGAGACAAAGACATCAAAACACTTAATCCGCTCAAAGTAAAACGAGGGAGAAAGCAGCAGATGGCCAGAAAGACGTCAATCCTCCTCATTCTTCCCAGGACAACAACGAGGCAGGAGACATGATGATTACAAGGGACACTGACGTTATTGTGGGGACCCTGGACGTCTCCGAGACGGAATGGGAAAGCTTAAAGGAGTTGTATTAAGATGAAAGGGCAAAATGGCAATTGGAAAAAAGGATGTGATTCTTTAGGGATTCTGTGATAAAAGACATTGGTCAACACTTGATGGAGTCCAGCTGTTCAATTACACCTCAGTATTTACAGTCTTTAATCATTTACAGGGATCTAACAATTATTGACAGACTGGGTTAGCATGTTTGTGCTAACTTTTGATAAGATAAGACATGCACACTTGAACTTTTTCATTAAAAAGTTTCACTTGATGCCGCACTGCCCTCTCTAGCTGATGGGACGGTAGTGTTATGTCCTCGCGTCCTGTCATGAATGCACAGATGAGCATGAAACTCACTTTGAGTGCTTTTTATGGCCTCTTATCTGAACTGCCACCTCCACTCCCATTTCCTCCTAATACTGGGAAATAACTGAAACACTTTATATTAAATAAACAATTATTTATCTGCGATATGCAAACTTATATGCTATATATGTTGTCCCCTGTCCTCTGAGATCAGTGACTTAACTAGCGTAGCCATGTGAGATTTACCATCAGTTTTTCCTCCTTCATTTCCTGAAAACAAGTTTGTTATCATTTTTCCTTTTCGTACTCAAGTGACTCATGGATTCTCTGTCGCTCTCTCATGCGTACCGTATAAATACAAGTTTACAGAGACATGTCTTCTGTGTAGACCATCTTAGCATCTGGAGGTCTTGGAGGCATCGCAATTCAGTTTCACAAATTGGAGTTAGCCTCTTACTTTTTATATATCATTTACATTTTAAGTCAGTTTCAAGGTTTATTATTACAGATATTTTATTTTTGAGAATATTTTTACGTTTGGATACCATCCATTTGTATTGATGACCACCTGGTCGGCTCGGTCAATCATGCAGTTTACCTGTTTTTTCATTTTTCTTGCTCTGTTTCCTCCTCTTCATTGGTGTATGTATGTTCCTGTACAGAACATGCTTCTGCCGTTTAGCACGCAAGTCAGGGAATGCTTGCTCTACACAGGTAATCTTAAACTTTAACCTATTGCAATAGTTGCAAATGAGTTTCTGCTTCTTTTTGAGCTGCAAGATGTTAGGATCTGCTTAATGTGGGTAACTGTGACATGTGCTACTTTCTTCTGTCAACATGGCTATCTGGAATCAGTCAATCCTTTTTAGTTGGCGTGGTGATGTTACAATAAAAATGTATGCCTTTTATTTCAAGGCATTCGTTTTGCACTGCAATTGTACTGTGTTTTGTTCCTAAAGAGCAAAGACTGGCTTGAAGTAATGGCAATCTGTGTGTTTTATCCATTTTAGATAACAGAAAGTATGGGCTGTTCCTTGAAATGAAACCTGACGGCTCCGTTAGAGGGTCTCAAGAAGAGAAGCGCAACTGTAAGCAACTGCTGCAAACATTAAAGAGTTAAAGAGCACAGTTTACTGACGGAGTACTATTGTAATCATTAAGTAACCCTCATTATGGCCTTACTTCTCAGAATGTCCTTCAAGGACAAATACCTTATCAGAAAAGATAAAAATAATTCATAATATCTGTGATAACAAGGGTTATGCAAATAATAACAAATTGCACGCTGTAGGTGTGCTGAACCTGCGTTCAGTGAAAGCCGGGGAGACGGTCATCCAGAGTGCGGCTACATCTCTCTTCCTCTGCGTGGATGATAAAGACAACTTGAAAGGACAGGTCTGGACATTCGAACATCTTTACAAATTTGAAACATCCAATAGAGCATGGTCATTTAAAAACAAATAAATAAAAATATAATAAAACTGAAAAATGACAATTAGTAAAAAGACACCATTCTAGCGTAGCAGAGAGAGAGAGCAGTGTATACATAAAATGGATACTTAGCATTTACTATTTTGCCATTTAAAAGCAAATTGTACAAGCAAAATATACAATATTATAATATACAATTTTATTTAAAAATAATTGAGGTAATTATTAATAACTTTAGATAGTTAAGGTACTGTTTTTTTTTTTTTAAGAAATTTATACTTTTATTTAGCAACGACATTTATAATGTTACAGAGAATATATTTCAAATAAATCTCTTTTTTTTCTGTTCATCGAAGAATCCTGAAAAAAAAAGAATCATGATTTTCACAACAAAAAATTATGCTGTATTCAACATTTTTTTGAGAATGTTTTTGAGCAGCAAATCAGCAAATTAAAATGATTTCTGAAGGATCATGTGACACTGAAGGCTGGAGGAATGATGCTGAAAATTCAGCTTCGCATCAAAGGAATAAATTACATTTTTTAAATATATTTATATTATATATTAATATATAAACTAAATTACATTTCGATCAAATAAATGCAGCCTTGGTGAGCATAAGAGACATTTTAAAAAACTATTTGTGTATTTTTAATGATTTGCACAACATTTAAAAGTCATTGATATTAAATGTATTTATAAATAATGTTTTTACAATTAATAATTCGTTTTCTCTTCACAACTACTCAAATTCTAGATTTGTCGAAATGTTGATTTTTATTTTATTACACATAATACCACATATCTTATTTTTTATATTTATGTTTTTGAATCCTGTATTTCATTATTTATTAAATGTGGAATTGATTTGACATGGTTTGCAACACCTGTAGTAAACATTGAGTAAGCTGTTATATTTATTTAAGGTAGCCTACATGAATTTCACTGGAGTCTTGCACACATTTGGGACTGAGCTTTGTTTTCTTTTTCAGCCGCACTACACTGAAGGAGACTGCACCTTTCAGGAATTGCTGCTGCCAGATGGATATTCATATTTCCTTTCTCCACACACTAGGAATCCCATGTCGCTCCCTTCAAAGCAGTCTGGGCAGAAACACGGTGCCCCACTTTCTCGGTTCCTCCCTGTTATGAATACTCAGTTGGCAATGGCGGGGAAAGGAGAGGACAGCCAGATACAGGAGGTGAAACAGTATATTAAGGACATAAACCTGGACTCTGACGACCCACTAGGAATAGGACATCAGTCACACATTCAGACTGTCTTCAGTCCCAGTCTGCATACTAGGAAATGAGGACTGGAGAACATCAGTTATGGAGGCATGCTTTACATTATCACTGGACTGCGATGTTTAAAATGTTTTGTTACTGTATTTTTTTTTAATATTTATTTGAACTTATTTATTTGCTATGGTCTAAAATTATTTAAATTAATTTAAGTAACTTAAATATTGTTATATTAAACATCATACAATCGTTCATTTAAATATTTCAATTCAGCTGGAGAAGAGTCCACTTTCAGTTTGTTTGTTCTTTTTGTAGTACACCGAGTCACTTCAGTATGATTTTTGTGTCATTAAAAATGTGAATAAATAGTACACAAACATGGCTCAGCGTTACACAATTCACGGAGCACACACACATCGTAAATGACTGTACATATTTTCCTAAAAAGCCTTTGAATACACAAGCATTTCAACAATGTCAGAACAGCAGTAACACAAAACTGCTCCAGATGAATGATGCTTAAGACTTTATCCATTCGTCGGGACACACAAATCCCTGGCACATTCATGACTGCAACACGGGTGACAAAATACATGACATTTAAATGACACCGCAGGGTGCTTCTTCCTACGAATAAGTCTGATAATATATATATGTCAACGATTCCAGTAAGATCTTTAAAGCAAAGGTGCAAACGCTTTTATTGCACAAGACAGCTCAGCTTATCCTCAGCTATTTTTCCAAACGCATTGAGATGCCACTCTCTGAATAGATCAAAATAGTTTCTCAAATAAATACATTCAGTGATTTAAAGTTCAGTGTAAAGGTTGTGATGTCAAAATAGTTTGGTTACCGGAACGTTAGGAAAGCGGTTTAAAGATGTGTTATAGATAGAAAGTCAATGTTTTTTGTAACTTCTTTATACCTTTCCTTTGGATACTGCATCTGCATTTTGTACCTTCTCAGCCTCTTCATCAACCGTTTTCTGTTTCTTGCATTTATTCCTTCCCATCCTCCACATATATTCAGTGAGTCACAGTGAGGCAGTGTACCTTAAAACATGGTACAGGACCACCTCCATCTCTCATTCCTCCTCTTTGATCTCCAGTCTCTCAGACTTGGGTGACCAGTGGGTAAACACTCCCTACACTTTGCACTCTGGTCTGTCCCGCGCAAAGCCCAGCCAGGAGAGTCCCATTAAGAGGGGCGCAGATCCCCCTATAGGCCGTGCCTTCTTCGAGAGGATTGCGGTCTCCCTGTTCCCCAGGCCCTTCCTCACCTTCTTCCCCACCTTCTTCCTCCTCCCAAAGGGAGGTGCTGACGTGTGTGTATTCCTGGTTGTCCTCACACTCCATTTCGCGGTGGTAGAAGTAGCTGAAGTTGGAAACGATGACGGGAACGGGAAGCGAGATGGTGAGCACGCCGGCGATGGCGCACATGGAGCCCACCAGCTTTCCGCCCACCGTCTCCGGGTACATGTCGCCGTACCCCACTGTCGTCATTGAGACCACAGCCCACCAGAAGGCTTCTGGGATGCTGGTGAAGGCCGTTCCAGGTTTGTCCACCTCGGCAAAGTACGCGGCCGAGGAGAACAGGATGACTCCGATGAAGAGGAAGAAGATGAGCAGCGCCAGCTCCCTCAAGCTGGCCTTCAGCGTCTGGCCCAGGATCTGAAGGCCTTTTGAGTGCCGAGACAGCTTGAAGATCCGGAAGACTCGAACCAGACGGATGACCCTTACGATCGCCAGGGACATGGTTGGCGTCGCGCCCCTAGACTTGGCCAGCTCCGTGCCGAGTGTGATGAAGTAGGGAATAATGGCGAAGAAGTCTATGATGTTCATCACATCCTTGAAGAAGGACATCTTACTGGGAGAGCAGGTGAAACGCATCACTAGCTCAAACGAGAACCAGCAGATGCACATGGTCTCCACCAGGAAGAATGGATCTTGGAAGGGAGAGGACATTGGGATGTGCGAGGTATTGTTTCCGGCAAGGAAAGCCTGGTATGCCATTTGCTGCAAAAGAGAGAGAAAAGAATAAAGATAAGGATAAGAAATTAGATGCAGAAACGGGATAAAAACATATGACATTCAAAAACATACTAAACACAGCTAGAGTGTAAAGTGCATTTTGCATATTCAATTAAAGTATATTATATATTTGCATATTCAAGTAAAGTGCATTTTGCATATTTGCATAGGCCTATGTTGAGATTCGTATTTTGTGTGCTTTCAATATACTGTAGCTGTAGTAGTAGTGTGGTTACAACCTAATACTTTTAATTTACTGTGCAACTATGTGTATGTCTTTGTGTGTACTTTGGATTTTTAGAAACAAATCTGACTAAATCTGACAACATTTTGTGGACATCCTCATTTGTAAAACCTGTATATATTAAATTTATCAATTTTAAATTTGTAATGAAATATGTATTCTTTTAAATTTAGAACTAATTTTAAAACTATATCGTTATTAATATATAGTTAAAGGGGATGTATAATGCTATTTCATGCATTTTGACTTATTTACACTATACTAAAGAGTTGAATTCCCATGTGCTAAACATGACCAAAGTCTCAAAAAACGAGTTGGACATATGATGGAGTATTTTTGTGCCAAATACACTTCTTCAGGTTTTGTATAAATTTCTGGAATTTTTTTTTCGAGCATGGCATAAAAGAAGAGCACGTGCTTCATTCGGGTTACGGAAGTCGTCGGCACAAGAATTGCTCGAGAACAATTTTACATTTGGTTTTTGACCACAAAATCAACAATGCCAAAAAAGTGTGTTTTTGGTTGTGAGGGAAAGATAACCTTGTTCAGCTTCCCAAAGAACCCAGCATTAAAGTCTGCATGAAATCAAAATTTATAATATTTATTTTGTTAGTTCACATTGTTAGTCTTAAGGTGAACAATTAATCCATGCAAGTTAATCCTCTGAAAAAAATAGTTTGTCTTGGTAATCTTTAATCAAAATCTGATCATTTGCTTCTGCTCCGGAATGGCACCCCTGCTCTGATGACGCTTGGGCCATGGCTTTGGTCAGAATTTGCTTAACCGCCCCTAAACCGTTAGTTTGCTGCGAGTGAAAGTTGAGAGGAGGAGCGCAAAAATAAAACCCCGCCCTTTACTCAATATTCCGTTTCAGTGGGAAATACGTCACCATACTGAAATAAAGTCGGCAGCAACATCCAGTTCACGCCAAAAACAAATGCAGGAAATTCAGAGAAGAAATAGAAAAACTTAAACAATGCATTATAAAAGTTAGAAGGGAATGGAACATTAGAGGTGTTTTAGGAATAAAAAATGATCAGACTGAAGTTACCAGGGCAATAATGAATTTTTTGCGAGAAAGTGGTTTAATTAGAAGAATTTAAGATCACAATGAAGTCATGATGTTGCACACTCCAATATAATAGGTGGCGGTATGCACTAGAGGTCTGCGCGGGACTGTTTTTTTAGTCCCACTCCCGCAAGGTTCTATTCCGCACCCACCCGCTCCCGCTATATATTCACTCTTTGTTCACCCGCTGTCCGCTTAGAATAATTATCTTCCCAACCCGACCGTTCCCGCTAAATTTAGATCTCGTTTCCAAAATCTCACATTTAAATTTCCGCTACTGAAAGAAAGAGAGATAGGCTGACAAATAAAAGTGTAGTCTGCACAAAATTGTGTTATTTTATTCGTCTTGTCAAGAGTCTTGAATTTATTGACTTTGACTTGAATTTATATGAATTATCTTAAGACACAAAATTCGTTTAATATTTTATGCAACACAGTAGGAAAAAAAGTGCCAGAGAAAATAAAAATGTTGTAAAAAAATTGTAAGATTTTTATTCGTCTTGTCAGGATACAATTCGCTTAACATTGACAACACAATAGGGAAAAAGTGTTGCAGAGAGAAAAAAAAAAAAAAATGTAGGTTGTACAAAAACAGTCTATTAGCTATTTTTATTCGTCTTGTCAAAATACTAAATTCGTTTGACATTTTTCTGTTAACACAGTAGGAAAAGTGTCGCAGAGAAAAATAAATAAATAAGATTCAAATTACACCAGAGTTACCGACCGCTACCTCGTTTTATTCGGGAATTTAATCCCACGGCACAAAAAATCCGATCGGGTCCCTCGGTTCCCGCGGGAATGCAGACCTCTAGTATGCACCTTAATGCTGGCTTTACACGGACTTTAAGGGAATTATTTATGCCGATGTCACAGCTTGCAGATGATAGCTATGCAAAAGCTTTGAGTGCTCCTGACTCTTTAGCTCTGCCCACGCCATGCCTCCAGAAGCTTATCTTACTTTTATAAATCTGATAAAACTAAAGACTCCTCGGACATGAAGGATCCAATACTGTATAGGTACTCAAGATTAATATGAGATTGGCAACAACGACAAAAAAATGTGTGTGTTATGTCCCCTTTAACGTTTTTGGTGTGGGTGTCAACGTTTCTTAAACGTGTGTTTAAGAAAAAAGGCAGCGAAAAGAGAGAGTTTGTAATAAAACCTGAATCTACGGTGGCCGAGAAGTGCTAAACAAATCACAATTCTGAAATCAAAATAACAAATTACATACGCAAATGCAAGTTTAAAAAACAAAATAAAAATTCAGAAAGCACAACAACAATTCAGAAAACATTATAACAAGTCAGAAAACACAATGACAAATCCGAAAACAAATTTACAAGTCAGAAAACACAACGACAAATCAGACAAACCGGAAAAGGTAGGTATAGTTTGAGACAGCGCCATTGGTTAGGGATTACTCACCGCTGACTGGACGAGACATCTATCAATCAACGTATAGAGGAAGAACCAGCCGAAGAACAGCAGAGTCGTGGTAGAAAGTTCGGAGATGGTATTAAAGTAGCTCAGTTTAAATGTATTATATGAATTGCCCTTACTATGGAATAAAAAATACGGAGTGTATATTTACATTTAGTTAAAAGTGGCTGTTGAACATCAGTTACAGTGGCGCAGATGGATAAGCGCCTGCCGTTGGCTTTTTGACGCGTTCGATCCTGCCTTTTGCCGAACTTTTTTTTCCTCCCTTTTCAAATCTCGTATTAGCAATGGATTCTATTTACACTAAGAGAAAATAGCAGTATTTTTAGCAATATGCTATTTACACATAGTGCAAATACCTATTTACACTATGTTAAAATAGCAGGATTTCTACTATCAACTATACTACTTGTTGCAAATAGTGGCAATTATCTGCACTTCAGTATTGTAGTACATTATAAAACAGTATGCAATAATAACGTATTGAGTGTAAATTATAATTTTAATTTTAATTATTAAATGGATGCCACCTTATTGGTACAATAAAGCCCTCCCTACACCTATGTTATTTTGTTTTTTAAACTTGCATTTGCGTTTGTAATTTTTTTTTTTTTTTTTTCAGAATTGTGATTTGCTTTGCACTTCTCGGCCACCGTATGAATCAGACTTTCAGAGGTGCGAGAACTCCGAGATTAAGCAACCCAGCCGATTTTTAAAATCTCACCAAACAGGTATTCTGTTGAACAGATAGATAGCCATGTAGCTCTCTAACAGTAACGTGAATTCATTTTATATAACGTTTGACCTTGTCAGACTAGCAATTATCGTATGTGCAGTGACAGTGTAATGTAGGCCTAAACTTTTATTACATAATTTATTTAAAAACATCAGTGTTTGCAAAAAGTAAAAAACAACGGCATAATGGTTTTTTTATGTTTTTTTTAGTTTATTCAATGTAGATTTTAAGGTTTCGGTGCTAGGAATCGCATCCATGCAGAGCCGAAGCACAAGCGAAACGATTTAATTTCTGAAACTACTCTTGAGACCAAACATGTTTTGCCTAACAAGTGCCTGACTGAAACAATTTGGTTGCCCATTTGACACCCACTTCTTGAGTGAAGTTGAATGTCCCATTCTGCTTTTAGGGTCACAGAACATGATCTTTCACTCAAAGGTCAGTCATTTTTGCTCTTTATCACTCTGACTCCATAAAAATGACTTACTCTAATGTGTACACGAGCACAAACCACATCAGTATGTAAGAGGTAACCAGAGTAGGGGTATTTTCAAATATGTATCCATAAACACGTATAGCCTTATTTGAATTTCCAGTCATATAACTCAAAGCTAAGCATGTGTTTGCATAGAAAACAGATTTATGAATAGCAAGATAGAAGATTAGAAAATATGACATGTGAGATGTGAGTTTGTATGCACGTGTGGTGTGTGTGATCTCGTGTCGGGCTAGCTGGCTATTAAGTGTTCCCTATCGTAGTGCATTTAGATTTTGCTAAAGTCATCATAAGATGTTGTCAAAGTGTGTTTCCATTCCTATTTCAGCGTTCGAGGGGGGTCTGTTTATTAATACAAGCTCCTGTATCTGTGTTAATATGCTCTGAAGGGTTGTCCTTACTCTAAAAATAGCACCTCAGTGATCTCTAAGGTGAAACTTGAGAATGTACAATCTCTCTCTCGCCAGCTTTAGTTTGCTGGTCGTTGACTGTCTGATCCATGCAGAATTACGGAGCTGCTTTGGCAGCGTGTTGAGGTTGCCGTCTTGTGCCGAAGCAGTTGGGTCGCTGCTGGGAAACTAATTTGATACTCTTTACTAACTTTCCCTCCTTGCTCCTAACCCACCCTGCATCTCTCTATTTTCTCTCACTCGATCAAACACAGGCGCTCTTTCATACTGTCACCTTGTCATTTGTTATCTCTTTCCCTTTTTTTTTTAATCTGTGTACGCCGCTAACATCTCTCCACGGACACGTCACTTGACTGTTTTCCAACCCCCCCCCCAGAGTCTCTGCTCCCAATCTGTGTATCAGATTTAACGACACGTCTAAAATAATCTCAGCAATAACCCTACACTGCTCCTGAACTTTTCGTCTGTGTTTTCTTTTTTTAAAGCAACTTCTCACACTTTTAAACTTACCTATTATTATGTGTGATTTGAAATGTGTACATTTTTAAATTTGTATGTGAATCTGTGTAGGCCTATAGTCAGTAAGAATGCCTCTGTGTTCTTAAAAGTTTAGCATTTAGCATTAAACATTGTTTTTACATTTGATAGAAATTCAATATGCAGTGTACATTTACACAGCTCACTATTTGGATAAGTTTGCCTATACTTGGATATGCTTTCCTCATCGTTAGTTTTTTTTTTTTGGTCTTACCGGAATCATTTGTACATTGTTTTTCGTAATATTTTGGATGGCAAGTACATTGAGAATATTTAATAAGGTGCAGCCACATTAGCAAAATTTCGCAGACAAAAAAGTCTCTATTGTCAACAGTGTAGTGATGAATGAAGCACAGCTCAAATAGAAGTCACTTTCAAACAAAGCAGCTTTCTGCTGGTCAACACAGATAATCTGCATTACCAACAAACTGCTGCGAAATCTGTCACCTTCCCAATCATGTAGATTCCATTTAAAACAGCAAATGTGACTACACATATAGTATTTAAATTAATATTTAAAATGGTTATTGATAGCTATTAATACTTAAAATAAAAATATAATAAATAATGTAATGTATTAAAGTAATGGAAGTAGCAAAAGACCCTTTCCTCCATATTATGACATACATCTAATTAAACGAATTATTGAAATGAAAAAAAAAAATGTAGGGTGCAGACTTGGTTTTGTCCATCGGTTGTTGATTGGATGAAGGTGGGTCTTAAAGAGGTCGGTTATAAAAAGAGGCGGGATTTATGTGAATTTAAAGGGATAGTTCACCCAAAAATGAAAATTACCCCATGAATTACTCGCCCTCAAGCCATCCTAGGTGTATATGACTTTCTTCTTTCAGACGAGTACAATCAGAGTTATATTAAAAAATGTCCTGCGTAATCCACTGGATCACCACTCTCTCGTGAACGTGCGTACGACAGTTCGCGGAAGCTAGAGATTACGGTTTATAAAGTTTTAAATATGGATATTTTTCTTACAAACATGCATCAATTCGCTTCAGGAGGCCTTTATTAACCCCCTGGGGCCGTGTGGAGCTCTTTTTATGATGGATTCATGCACTTAATTTTGCTTCAAAATCAAATTCACTGCCGTTATAAAGCTTGGAAGAGCCAGGATATTTTTTTAAACATAACTCCAGTTGTATTCATCTGAAAGTCATATAGACCTAGGATGGCTTGAGGGTGAGTAAATCATGGGATAATTTTCTTTTTTTTTAGGTGAACTAACACTTTAATAATTGGAGAAGTACATCAGCAGAGACACGCCTTTAGTTTCAACAGAAGATCAAGTTATTAAATTTGATTAAAATTTAATTTAATTTAAGTCAGAAAACAAGAAAAACAAGAAATATTGATAAATCGTTCACAATAAGATCAACAACATGCATTCTTAATAACATACTTAGCAAAGAGATAGGGGGGATTTCCATTTCATGCTGACTTTAAATAATGGCCTATATTAATAGTCATACATTTTTATTTATGCTCATTCATCTTTATGTGCTCAGGAACCCATCTGCTTCATGCTAAGAGCCATTCTAACATTCTTTCTTATTGCTATGGCTTTGCTACACTGTAAAATCTAATTAGTTGGGCTTACTTAAAAAAAGCATGCAAACCGATTGCCTTGAAAAAACTAAGTAAAGTGAAATAGGAATAGTATGTTGTACTGACAGATGCTTAGTTAGTATAGTTTACCAATGGTTATTGTTACAAGTAATGAAAATAAATTAAATTGAATTGGTACCATTGTTGTGATTCGCGTGCTGAATGTTTAAGTCTGTGTATGACTAGTCTGTGTCTGCGTTACCACACACGATTTAAGGATTATGTAAACCCAAATAAAAGCACTCAGGGTATTTATGAAAAAAGAAATTTGATAAAGTTCATTTATAAACACACACTAAAAATACACCAATGCTTTCATTAGAAGATAGATCACGTTCTAAAAGCAACCTATTTATTACTTTTCTTCCTTTGAAATCAAATAACTGACTTCATGATGCATTGCCGCATTAACAGGAAGAAAATTATAGTAACATAAACCAAGTTCAAAGTGCCCAACCAAAGGGAACGCTAATCACTATAATGGTGAATTTAAAAAAACACACATTTTAGGAAAATCAACATCTATTTATGAAGTTAGCTTATGTGATGTTCTCTCAAATATTTCAGTTGTATTGAGAATTCAACATTCAAGATGACTTTGGGAAACGAGTGAATGCAACTAGTGAAAGATAACTGCAGACATGGAGGAAATGATTGAAAAGTCTATTAATTTTAAGTAAGTGTCACTCAAAACAGTAAGTAAATTGCTTTATTTGCCTTGAAAGTAGCTGTAACTTAATAAAACCTAGTAAGTATAACAACTAAGTAAAGATTACTAATTAAATCTAAGTAAGGTAAACTATTGGATTTTACAGTGTAGAGGTTGTTGGTCATATTTCGTGTTTTGTGCATTATGTGTACTATAATGAAAAAAATAAATCCTGCATTTTCTGTATGGTAATATCAACTGATAACAATTTGCTAGTGTTTAGTGTCATGTGTGTCACACATCTTGTTGAGTCAGACACTGTAACGTTGACCTGTCTTTCACTGCTCCTCTCACCTCTCTCAGCTCCTTCTCTACTCTGAAGTCAGGCAGCGTCTCCAAACAGAAGATGAGGATAGAGACCACAATCACCATCACGCTGATGATGGCGATGATGCGGGCGCCTCCAGAGGACTCAGGGTGTTCAAAGAGCATCCACAGCTTGCGCTGGATCTCATTGTCTGGCAGGGGCCGAGGCTCCTCCTTGGGGAAGCCCTCATCCTCTTTGAAGCGAGCCATGATATCCTCTCCCAGCTCATAAAAGCGCAGTTCATCCATGAAGACGTCCAGAGGCACATTGGCAGGCCGCCGTAACCGACCTCCAGACTGATAGAAGTAAAGGATGGCGTCAAAGCAGAATCGATTGCGGTCCAGGAAGATCTCATTGCGGAGTGGGTCAAAGTAGCGCAGGCGGCGCTGAGGGTCTCCGAGCAGAGAGTCAGGGAACTGGGCCAGGGTTCGAATCTGTGTCTCGTAGCGCATGCCTGACACGTTGATGGCCAGTCGTTCGGACAGCGCCCAGCCTCCTCTCCACATTGAACCAGATCTTCGATTCTCTCTCTTCCTCTCACCCTTCTCTTTGTCACCCTTTTCTGCCTTGTTGCGCTGGTCCTTGAGGTTCTTGTCACTTTCGCTCTCTTCCTCTGCTTGTTTTGTGACCTTCATTTCCCCATCCGATCCTCCTCCTCCTCCTTTGTCCATCTCTTCTTCTTCGTTCTTGTTCACTCAGTCTGTTATATTGGGTAGAAACACACTCATTTCAGCCAAGCATGAACCCAGGAGTCAAAGGTTTGTAGAAACCTATAAATGGTGTTAGGCCACAGAAGTGGTCATTTCTCCTAGTGTCGATTCCAGTATCACCTGACAGTCTGGTGAATACATTTCCTGATTAAGTAAAGATTTTAAATTGTTAAATTATTTTGCACTTATTTGCTATTGTGTCAAATTATTTATTAAAATAAGTAAATATTATGTATATATTTCAGCATTATATCATTCCATAATTATTGTGTACATCTATCTATCTATATCTATCTATCTATCTATCTATGTAAATTCAATATGTTGAAAAAAATGTATACAATAATTATGGAATAATAAAATGCTAAAATATACATGATGCATCTTCAAATGAAATGTAATTTAAAACATTTTATTAATTACATTATGCTCAGAAATTGCTAAATAAATGCAATTAGAAATACAAAAAACAAATAACATGTTGAAATTTTTAAGTAGAAAGACTGAAATAGTACTTTCTTGTATGCTCCAATATTTTTTTTTCATTTACATCAAAATCATTTTTACAGAGTATATGTAATACAATTGTATTTAATATATTAAAATAAAAGCAAATTAATACAAAGTACTTGTATCTATTTTCTAAGTAATATAATGTATTATAATTAAAATGTGTAATAGATAAATAAACTGCACCACAACAAGAATTTGGTCAATTTATACAGTCCTGTTCCAGTTATGTAACTGAAGATAGTATCCATACTTAAATTCTTCTGCAGAAACTTCTCCTGCCGGTCCATGAAATCATATACAAACATTTCATGTACTCTATCCGAACCCTGTGTTGACTCCTGCAGACAGATCCATTACCACTTTGACCCTCACCACGAGAATAAGACTACGAGACTTTCAGACAAAAAAATAAATAAATTAAATAAAACGTTAAGGGGGGCAGTTTATAAGAAGACAGCAAAACAACCCGTGACCTCAAGTATAAAACAAGACTTAAGTGAAGTTGGTGAAGGGGTGAAAAATGTTCAACAAAAACATCACAATCCCTTGCGAGTAAAAATCTCCCAAAAATCTGAAATGTTCTATTAGGAATATAGAGGTTCGGGTCTCTGAAAAGTTTCTGAGTAGACACCCTGTTTGTCCCTCCACTTACCCTCTGCCACTAGTGTCCGTAAATCCAGAATATTTACCCAACGCTATTCGTGTTCCTTCCCTACCTGCACCACACCATGAGCTGTGTATCGAGTCCAACAGGAGGTGTTTTCTCCTGTGCCTTGAACCACAAACTTTGTCCTGCCCTTAGTCAGTGCAGTACAGATACGTAAACCTGTTTGTAAATCACTGTCTTCACTCGCTCTCACTGCAGCGCTGGGGAATGCTGTCATGCTGAAATTCAATCCAGAGCCCCTCGTCCCCTCATCAGCTCACTGTCCCAAACACCTTAAAATGCCTGTCTCTCTCATTTATCTCTTTTATATTTGTTTTTCGCTTTTTTTCATGTATGAATAATAGGTTTTTGCTATTTGATATTTGATCCCACCCCAGCATTTCTGCCAACAAATAATGAATTATTCAGAATACAAAAATTCAGAACTATTTTTTTTTTTTTACAGAATAATGACATAAACTGGGGATCTTTTTTATATTGAAAAGTGTATAATGATTTTTCTACTTTTTTTCAAGGTTTTCAAGTCACTTGTGTATTTCTTTTGTAGTTCATTAAAATAGTCATGCATGAATTTATATGAATTAAAAAATTCCTTTTATTGCAATGTGTAATAGTAATGTAATAAGCCATGCACTTACACATTACTTTTTTAAAAATAAATGTATATATTGATCGGGTTCATTGAAACAAACTGTCCAAGAGAACCAGATTGCAGGGGAATCAGATTTCCCATAATGTCAACAGAAACGTCACATAGGTTATGGTACTTGTAGTTTTGGGTGCTAAGAATTTAAGGTAAGATCTGAACTGAAAAAAATAAATACATATTTCTAGTAACTTTTGTTCTATAAATAGGGTGTCCAGACGTCCCGTTTTTCCCGGGACAGTCCCGTATTTCAACTCTATTTTTAGAGACACACCAGAAGCGCTCTCTATGCCGCGTGCCCGTGCGATCCCAGTTCTGCGATCAGTTCTCCTTGTGCCTTTATTAGGGTGACCAGATTTGTCTTGGTTCAATATGGTACGGGACGGGGATATATATATATATACACACACACACCACACATAGCCTACATCATTCTTTTTTTATATAAAAATAAAGAAGAAAATTACAAACCATAAGACAAATACAAAAGATGCAAATTAAATATTAAATTAACTAATTTTTCTAATACAGTTGGTTAAACATGTATACATTTATTTAACATCATTTGTTGTTTGATTAACATTAATGAGACAGGTATTTAATTAGGCTGCTGTCCCTTTAAAGTCCCCATGAAATCAAAATTAAAGTTTTTTGGGTGTTAGTATCAATATGTTAGTCTTAAGGTTATCTGTAAGGCAGTGTGCTCCAAAACAGTACCAAAATTCGGATTTAGAAGATATAAGCATTCAAAGCTTGCAGTTCGTCACTTCCGCCAAAATGGATCAACGATTTTTTTTTTTTGACGTCACCTCGTACTTCAGCTTGTCAGCAAATCTTCTGACCAATCAAATGCTCTCTAGAATCCGAAGCGCCCGCCCCATACACTATAAATAAGATGCTGAAGTTGCGGCTGAGATCGGTCACTTGTTCACAGTGTTAGTATTTTCTGTAAGGTGAATGGCACGTAGTGCACAATGTAGGCGATAGGGAACGATTCAGACTGTAAATATTCAAATAAAATTTCTCATATCGTGGTCATATATCACCCCGTCCCCGTCCTGTACCAAATTGACCCAAGAGAAATCTGGTCACCCTAATAAAGGCGCAAAGAGAACTGATCGCAGAACTGGGATTGCGCGGGCGGGCGGCATAGAGAGCGCTTCTGGTGTGTCATTCAGCGTGATTCCGCCTTCACTTACTGCAATCGATAACAAATTGTGATTGAATGGTAATTTTGTCCTACGACAAGCTTAGTTACCTTTGATTAGGCTGTTCTCGCGTGATAGAACACTTCTGCTTGCTCTGATCACCCGATTCAGACAGTGTAAATATGCTTTGGATTGGGGCAAACGAGGTCTGGTTTCTGGACTGTGACCCCGCGCACAGTCTGATCCGGACTTTAGCTCCGGTCTAGCCAGTCCTGCGATCAGTTCTCCTTGCGCCTTTATATGAAAAATAATGATGTACGTGGTGTGTGTGTGTGTATATATATATATATATATATATATATATATATATATAATTTAAATTGTGATTGGATGGTAATTTTGTCCTACGACAAGCTTAGTTACCTTTGATTAGGCTGTTCTCGCGTGATAGAACACTTCTGCTTGCTCTGATCACCCAGTCGTAAAGAAATGTGGAAATACGGGACAAAACTGGATTTTTTTTCAAAATAAGTCGGACTCGGGACACTAAAAATAAAGTTGAAATACGGGACTGTCCCGGGAAAAACGGGACGTCTGGTCACTCTATTTATAGAACAAAAGTTACTAGAAATATGTATTTATTCTTTTCAGTTCAGATCTTACCTTAAATTCTTAGCACCCAAAACTACAAGTACCATAACCTATGTGACGTTTCTGTTGACATTATGGGAAATCTGATTCCCCTGCAATCTGGTTCTCTTGGACAGTTTGTTTCAATGAACCCGATCAATATATACATTTATAAAAAAAATAAGTAATGTGTAAGTGCATGGCTGATTTACATGTTATTCCATCAAATAATAATACACATATAAAATAATAATTACAATAATACTTATTATTATTATTATTATCATCATCATCGTCATTATTAGTAGTAGTAGTAGTAGGCCTAGAAGAATAAAACAATTACATAGATTTGAAAAAGCTTTAGCAGTTTATCATTTTAATCATTTTAGATTTTCAATGAACCCGATCAATATATACATTTATTAAAAAAATAAGTAATATGTAAGTGCATGGCTGATTTACATGTTATTCCATCAAATAATAATACAAATATAAAATAATAATTACAATAATACTTATTATTATTATTATTATCATCATCATCATCATTAGTAGTAGTAGTAGTAGTAGTAGTAGGCCTAGAAAAATAAAACAATTACATAGATTTGAAAAAGCTTTAGCAGTTTATCATTTTATGGTTTTAGGATTTAGTTTGAATATTACATATAGGTTTGAATATTAAAAATATTTCCATATTAAAATTGAGATCAATTATAAAATCTAATGTATTTTTGTGCTATTTTGTGAATAAAAATAATTATTGCTTTTAGGCCTAAATAATTTTAAAATAATTTGAATGGTGATGTAGTACTTTTCATTTCATGATACATAGTATGCCACATAGTTTTAAATGTATTTTTTATTGTAATATCTTCTTACATTGAAGCCATTAATCAGTGTGATTGACAGCTTTGGACAAACAGACTGTTTTGTAAACAACGCTGGGTGGCGTAAGTCGACGTGTTATTCGCCTTTGCACTGATAGTATCTCATTCAAGTTTTTCAAAGCGCCAAATATGATATGTAAACGCGGATTTTTTTTTCAAGTCTAACGCATATAAAGTGAATAAACTATTATTAATCAACTCAACTTATTACAGAATTCATGAGAACCCAAAGAAACGTGCATTTCGTTTCCTCATTCAAGTCCTCGATTTACGCATGTCTGTAGTTTATTAGTACATAGAGTGACTCTTGACTCGTTTGTGCAACTCTAGTTCAGTCAGAAGGATATTTACACTGATGATTTTTGTGGAAATATTTATATTGATAGTGTTCTTTTTTTTTTTTTACTTTGTAATATCTGTTGGGACAAAGTATATAAAATACAATTATTTTTGTATCAATTATAAAATGATGAAGTGTGTTACAAAATACAGCTGCTTTGCAAACCTCACACACTCCAGCACGCATGCTCAGTTTTCTACAGCGGTTCTGCAGACTATCAGACCTGATGTCCGATAGAGAGACTGTTCTCAGTTCAGTCTGCTGGAGTGTTGGAGTTTTGGAGCACCTGCTGGAGCAGCGCTGTTGAGTTAGGAAGAGCTGGGGAAACCGGAATAGGATCATATTTCAGACGATTCAGTCGGACTCAGCGAACCGGTTCATCAAGTTTACTAAAAAGATTCAAAAGATCGATTCGTCCAGGAAGCGATCATCTCTAGTTGACACACACACACACACACATGACCGGTTACTACTTCTCTATCAGATGATTTAGTACACTAGAAACGGCTTACTCGAGCAGACTCTGTCAGCCTGTGCAGAAATTTGACATTATTTACATTTGCTGCATAAGTATACATAAGTGAACGTATATCGTACAGTAGTAACATATGGCTTGTGCGCAGCGTTATGTCAACAAAGTTGTCATCGTCACTGGGGGCACTAGAGGCATTGGAAGGGGCATCGTTAAAGTGTTTGGTAAGGGTTTATCATATTCATCTTTCCATTAAGTAATCAAAAGTAAAGGGAAAGTATGTCAAATTAATTTCGTGTTTGCTTTGCAGTGCAAAACGGAGCCAAAGTTGTGTTCTGCGCACAAGAGAGTATGTGATTGATTTAAATAGCCTTTTGATTGTGTGTCTCTTTCGCCAATAAATGCAATAACGTTTCTTTTCTTTTTTTCTTTCTTTTTTTTTTACGATTGTCAGCTGAGTTGGCTGCTGGCCAGTCTCTTGAGTCTGTGCTGAATAAGGAAGGACTGGGATCATGCACGTTTGTGTCATGCGACGTGACAAAAGAGGACGACATCAAGGTAGCCGCTGGCGTTCATGTGGCATTCATAACATCTGTCTTACTCCTTTTTTCTTCAACTTGTATTTACATAAGAGCACATACATAATGCAGAGGAAATGGATAAAATAATAGTAACACTTGACTAATAATTAACTAGCAGTTCAACTTTTATGGTTTTAGTTTTTTTGTTTTTTCATTTTTGAAAAGGGTTCCATGTAAAACTTGAGATCAGTAATATAAAATATAATGTATAAACGATTTTTGTGCTGTTTTGTGGGTTAAGCTTTTAAAAATAAGTATAATTACAATGTAGTTTACATTTACATGATGCATAAGGACTTTTCCAAAACAAATATGTCATATAGTTCTAAATGTATTGTTTCATTAATTTTATTGTCATATATCATCTTGAAGCGATTAATCAGTGTGACGATCGAGAGGTTTGGACAAATAGACTGTTTGGTGAACAACGCTGGGTGGCGTAAGTCAAAGTTTTATTCACCCTTGTTATTTTTTGTACTTTTTTTTTATTTGTTCTACACTTTATTTTAACAAGGGACTTTTGGATTTATTTGGAGAAATTATATTTATTAAAAAATATTTACAAAACCGTAATGAAGATAAATATTTTTCTAAATAAATTGTCTAATAAATTAATAAATAAATAGTTTTCTATATATAAATCCCCTATCAGACCCCCCTCACAAGACCACAGATGAAACCACTGCGGAAGAGTTTAGAGACCTGCTTAATCTGAACCTCATCAGTTACTTCCTTACTTCAAAGGTAAGGAAGTGATGTAAAAAACCTTGGTCTCTTTTCTTGTGCAGAACGACTTTTTTTTTTTTAACCCCTTTTCATTACCTCGGGGCAGTATGTTCTGCCGTTTCTGCGTAAAACACAAGGAAACATCATCAATTTGTCCAGCCTTGTCGCCTCAATAGGTCAGAAAGATGCGGCTCCCTATGTGGCAACCAAGGTGAGTTTCTCTGCTTGTCCTGAGTGCTTTACTTGATCATCTTACAAGTTGGAAGTAACGGTAATACTCACATATATGCACAAGGGGGCGATCACCGCCATGACTAAAGCAATGGCTGTGGATGAGAGTCGCTATCAAGTGAGAGTGAACTGGTGAGTGACATTACCCTCAATACCCCTGACATCTAAGCTGTCCCTTACTTTTTCATTTAGATCTAAAGTATTCAGGATTTTCTCTATTTCAGATCCAATTGAATTTCCATCTGTGAACATGCTGTTTATTAACATTCAAACTCTTTTATAGCATCTCTCCAAGCAATATAATGACGCCTCTGTGGGAGGAGCTTGCTGGCCGCACAGAAGACGCTGCTGCCACTATTAAGGGGGGAGAAAATGCTCAGGTAGGTGTTCATAAGGTTAAATATGCAATGCTATTCTGTTGAATATATTCTAGTAACCTATTTCTACTCAACAGCTGATTGGTCGAATGGGAACGGAGACTGAGAGCGGATTAGCTGCCCTCTTCTTGGCAGCTGATGCCACTTTCTGTACTGGGATAGATTTGTTTCTGAGCGGAGGGGCTGAACTGAACTACGGCTTCAAAAGCCAAATTCCATAACCGGACAGTGATGGAAAGGCCCATGAAATAATATGGCTTAATTTCTCATCTCAGACCGCTTGTTTCATGCTGCTTCTCAGTGCAACTATTTGCAGATTTTGCAAATTGTTTTTTTTTTTTAAATCATTGCACCATTTCAAATCATTGTGCGAAATGATTTGCACAACTTTTTTTTGAGTGAGGTTAAGTTTAATATTAAACAATCACATTATTGAAAGTTTACTGAAGTTCTAAGCAATTGAAAATTGTTTTTCTTTCACTTGCCATTTCGCACTTTCATGCCGCCTTATGATCAGGTAAATGGTGCAATAATTGTTCAATTTAAAGCCAACTGCATTTATTTGTATATCTAATAGTAATATGAATTTTTTGGAGTAATTAATAATTCTAAATGCTGAGTTTTTCATTTTTTTAATGCAAATATTAGTTAAATATTATATGTAAGGGACCTGCACTGTGAATTACAGTACCATGAATGTGCAAAATTGGTGTTTACATGTAAACATTCCCTAAACTGTTTGTTACACAATCCAATTTTCAATTGTGATGTAGTGATTTTTTAAATCTTTTATGACTTTTGACAGATTGTGATTTGCTTCATACACAAAATTATTTGTATTCATTAAAAAAAACGTAATTAATTTACACTCAACGCTCATTTTCCACTCGTTTGTAGTCAAGTTATTTTACTTAATATTAGCTAGAAAAATTATGTCAGAAGCATGGCCAATGCCACTAATGGGGATTATTCTGATATAATGATATAAGACAAGTTGATACTGTTGTTAGTCTTTTGATATCAAAATGTGGTTAGTCCTTACCTATATTAAACAGCTGGAAATGCATTGCATTATATGCAAGTTTCAAGACAGTAAATAAATAATAATCAGATTGATGTAAATTTGGTAGCAATGCCTAATATAGATTTCAGAGTTTGAGACAGAAAATTAAATTCAAAGAAAGAAAACCCAATTCAATTTAATATGCAAAATGGGAACTAGGTTTCTGTGAAATCTAAAGCCATACAGCCTGGTTTTCAATAGTGACCAACACAGGTGACAAGCTATTTTTATTTTCATCACATCATCAGCTGAAGGTATTGACATATAACATATTTCTTCAAATGTCCAAAAGCCAATCATTTAACCGGATCGGACCAACGTCTCATATACTGGCCAATGACTGGAATGTTTCCTCATAACCTTGTTTAACCCCGCTGATTGCGTAGATTTGACCCTTTACTTTTTTTTATCCAATCAGATGCGAGAGACCCGTCACTCCTACCCGCGGGTTACTATTAACACTTTGATGGACAGGAATAGTTTTGTTTGGAACATTAATGACTTTTAAAATTCATATATAGATGATAAATAGTATGATGATTATATAATCGACTCATACCCATTTATTAAGCTTATATGTATTTAGAAAAAAAATATCCTCCTTATTTAGAAAGCAGCATCTGACTTATTATGGCTTTATCCTGGTGACAAAACGAATAATAATATTTAGCATATTTCAAACAAGCCTTCTGATGCACATATCTCACTGGTCTGTGTTGAAAACAATGCGAATGCGCTTAAATATATAATAAAGAACCCTTGAAGGATTCAAACCCTGAGCACTTTACCGCTGTTTTCTTAGGGGTCCAATCCGGAACGCAGGGAGTCCCGGGCTGCTGCTCCCACTCGGACTAGTTTACCGTGCATCTCAGCACGGCAGCGATGGCAGCGATCAGGACGGTGAGTTCAAAGATCATTTCACCTATCTCCCCCACCACATCTCCAAATCCTTCTGTCAATAATTAACGGCTCTGTCTAAACACCGTATGTGGAGTGTATTTAACAGAACCGAATTTTGCAGCTTTAAACTGCAGATCATCATCGTCGTTGCAAATCGACAACACGCAAGTTTCAGTTATCACATGAGCGGGGTGCATGTTTTTAAGTGTTTGATGTTAGATTTGGATAAAACATCAGAGGGTCATTTGTTGTTTCATACTCAAATCTGTCTGTAAATCTCCAGATGCGGATGAACGCGTAATGAATGAGAGAGAGAGAGCAGCTTTCCACGTATTTCCGTATGAACCGGTGTGAACGCACGCGCCTGTGGCAAGCCGTGTTAACAATCGTTCATAAAAATATACAAAATGTGTTTTTTTAACGTTGCCAACACTTTTCTAAGAAATTACTAATGATATTTCTAAAATGATTAGTAGGATTTACAATTTTACTTGTAACTATTTATTAGATACAGATGCTATAATTCATTCCAGTAATTGTGATCAATGTCTTTTCAGTTGAGTCACTAGTATTCCTTTGCTATTAGTCACTGTCCAACAAGTAACTATTCCACTTTTACTGGTTACAGTTTGCAAATGTAATCAATAGGTGTCTGTATTAACTACCTAGGCCTACTTCTGACTATGTCATCCACTTGTTGCTGCTATTCCTGTTTTACTTGTAACTTGTCATGAGGGGCTAGTACTTATATTTTAGTTACATGTAACCAAATGTTTAATCTTACTAGATTTTAATATTGAAATTTAATTTTTAAATGTTGAACAATACAATTCTGACCAGTCATTACATATAAGTAAAAAGCCATTGTGTAAATAGTGAGATAAAAAAAAAAATCGTACAATTGAGTTGCATAGTAGAGTCCTAATTCTAGTAAAAAATATATACTACTTAAATAATAGTTACCAGTAATACTGGGATACTACTCAGAAGTGAATAGTTGCAACTTTTGCCTTTGAATTCTTTCCAGATTTGTTACCAGTAGCGTTGGCGTTATATTTACTTGACAATATTTTGGTAGTGACTAGTAGCAAAGAGATAATTGAGTGAATAATTATTATAGTGAAGTTGAAAACAATACTAGCACCTATTGTGTTACTTATTAATAATGAAAATATTACTAGTTGCAGTAAGATATGCTAGTTCGTTTTTCAGGAGCTAATGGTAAAACATCTTGCCATAAGACGCTTTTGCCTGCCAAATTATGCACAGAGTTTGGCAAGGTCACCGGACAGAGCTATCATGTAGCCCTGCTACATTATTTATTATGTAAACAAATATCTAATAAAAACTCAATTAAAACAGTAATGTAAGTAGGATTAGTGTGTGTCTTAGAGTAAAATAGGCAAACACACATTCACTTTCTTTGCTCGTTCACTCAGGGTTTTTTAGCTATTAAAAGCACTGTTACAGTGTGAGCCAGCTGTCTCCTTGTGCACAAATGCAGGTATATACAGCTGGTACATACTCAACCGTCACATCTTACGAGGGCTAAACAACAGCTGTCAAGAACAACATGCTCTGTGTCTGATTGGGCTATGGAAGGAAACGGTCGAAGTCACACTCTGTTTCTGTGTTTTAAGGCCCTGAATGGACGCTTTCTTCAGCCTCTCTCCCTGTCATGTGGGTCGTTGCGGTTCATCAGCTCCTCCTTCAAGGTACTGAAACAAACCTGTTGTGCCATGTTTATGCACTACTTTTATTTCCATGCTACCACAAGTCAGTCTGGGCCTCAGGTCTTGTGATTGAGTGTTTGTTTTAGTTGGCTCAGAGTTTACGATCACAAGTTTTACGGCTCATCCTGAGTTACATTTTCTGAAGTGTTAAGCAGGCCACGGTGTCGCCTTGTGGGATCTGACTTCTCTTTTCTTTGTGCTTTTGCTTTCTTGCACGCTTTCTCCACCCCCCTCCCCAACTCCTCCCTTCCCTTCCCTTCTCACCACAATTTAATTTAATTTAATTTAATTCAATTTCCATAAAAGCTTGACTGGCATGATGAATCCAGATTCATTTTTCAAATGCATGTGCAATCAGTGATAATGAATAAACATCTCTCCACGTGCCCACTTTACTCCCCGCCCCTCTCTGTCTTTTCGTTTTCTCTCCCTCTTTTTGTGTCTCTCTCTCTCTCTCCCCGGTTGTTTGTGTCAGGCTGCAGATCTTACCATAGAGAGGAACCCTGCACTGAAGCCAAAGCCAGACCCCTCAACCCTTGTGTTCGGCAAGCAGTTTTCAGACCACATGCTGACAGTCAGCTGGTCTGAAGCAAGAGGATGGCAGGCACCTCAGATCAAGCCCTTCCAGAATCTGTCCCTTCACCCTGCTTCCTCAGCCCTGCATTACTCCATAGAGGTGAGGGAGTGTGTGAGCCACATGGCTCTTACTACCTTTTTGTCATTTATTCAAAATAAAATTGACTTTATTTCCCAAGTCTGGTGTTTTTACCTGAATTCTATCAGATGCTCTGCCACAACATAGAAATGAAATGTCTGCAGTTTTTTTTTCTTGATATTGTAATTGCAATCATTAATTTTCTAAATATTGCCTTTAATAATTATTATTATTTTATGTATGTATAAGTTGTTTATAATTCTAAATCTTAAACATCTTATCAAATTAGTTAATTTTATATTACATAAAATAATCTTGATAAATTATATAGTTAATTATGCAGCTCGACAATGATGTTATATGCAATACCTCTCTGAAGATTGGGGTCAGTATGATTTTTTTATTTTTTTTAAATAAATTAATACTTTTATTCAGCAAAAGCAAAGAGACAGCAACGACATCAACAAGTTTACAAAAGATTTTTTGTTTCAAATAAATGCTGTTCTTTCCTGTATTTATAAAGGAATCCTGATCACGTTTCCACAAAGATGTTAAGCAGCACAACTGTTTTCAACATTGATAGCAATAAGAATTTGAGCCCCAAATCAGCATATTAGATGACACTGAAGACTGGAGTAATGGCTGCCATCATAAGAACAAATGGCATTGTAAAATATATTAAAATAGAAAATGGCTATTTTGAATTCTAATAATATAATATTTTTGCTGTATTTTTTAAAATAACTGCCTTGGTGAGCTTGTTAAGGCTGAGTCTTTGTATTGCTGCAGCTAGTATTTCCATGGATGTTCTGCACAGCTATTTGACCTTGTCTTAATATAGGTTTATTTAATATGATCCATTTTGAACTGAAGTGAACTGTAGGGCTTACTAATGTTTAAGACTAATTTCCCAAAATTTTTCCTATTTAGTTTTTATGAATCTTTTATTTTTTTATTTTTGATATTCTGTTTTATTCTCAGCTATTTGAGGGCATGAAGGCTTTCCGGGGAGTAGATAACCGTATCCGTCTCTTCAGGCCTATGCTGAATATGGAGCGCATGTACCGGAGCACAGAGAGGAGCTGTCTGCCTGTTAGTCTTTATCTTATTCCATAAGGCATTACTTCAGCTTATTGACTAATGCCCTGTGATATTATCACATTTCCACTTAGCCAATCTGTGTGCCGTATCCTCTCCCATCTCCATCAGCATGTTCTCTCTCTGTATCTCTCTTAGTTGTTTGATAAGGGCGAACTGATAAAGTGTATCAATAAACTGGTTGAGATCGACCGAGAATGGGTTCCTTACTCCACAGACGCCAGCCTGTACATCAGACCAACGTTTATAGGAACTGAAGTAAGAAACTTTCGGTATTAAAATATAATTTACTGAATGATTTTGGTCTTTTTATCTTTAATGGTGACCCTCCTTCTTTTTGCAGCCTTCTCTGTGTCTCGAGCAGGTCATGCTTTGCTCTTCGTCATCATTGGGCCTGTTGGACCTTATTTTGCAACTGGAGGCTTTAGTCCGGTGTCATTGCTGGCAGATCCTCGATATGTCCGGGCCTGGAGGGGTGGCGTTGGAGAATACAAGATGGGAGGGTGGGTTTTCACAATTATTTCACAAAAAATCATACCTGGTGTTGTTGTAATGCCGTATGCCCTTCTTTCTTTTTTGGACCACAAAAGGAGAATAAAAAAAAAAAAGTCCTGCTCACACAATGGCAGTGAATAGCAACCAGCATCAAACTTCAATGTGCAAACGTGTCACAGAACGGTCGTATGCCACATATTCCAAGTGTTGTGGGGATATACAATAGGGTTTGGTGAAAAACAAACTGAAATGTAATTTTTTATTTAGCGAAAATCCTTGCCTTGGCAGTTGGTTATCTGTATTCATGAGACTATTAGCGCCGCAATTCACATCGACTCACCCAGAAACCCAAACTTTGTCGGGTTTACCCTGCTAAATTAAAGCAGAAATATGGCACTGAACTCTTTGAAACCATTTTCTCCAGTTTGTATTTTCCGTAAGTGTATAAGCGAAAGTATTTCAAGTGTTAACCGTTCTGTAGTGTTGCATCAGAAAGTGTTTTTTTTTTTTTTTTCGAGGCTGTTGTTGGTAAGACGATCCAATTTTCAAGTTCTCATTGCTGCAGGATAGTGATGCATCTTCTTGTTTGTTTTAATGGTGAGATCATGAATGGCAGAAGAGCAATTACACTTCTGCTGGAGCTTATTTTTTTGTCACACTCCATTGCCCTTTGAATGACTCAAGGCATATATAGATATAGGCCCATATATATTTGGACAAAGGCACTTTTTTTTTTCTTTTAGCTGATGACCAAAACATATTCAAGTTACAGTTATATACTGAATATGGGCTTAAAGTGCACACTTTGATCTTTAATTTGAGGGTATTCACATCAAAATTGGAGGAAAGGAATTTCAGCTCTTTAATATGTACCTCCCCCCTTTTTCAAGGGACCAAAAGTAATTGGACAGTTGACTCAAAAGCCATTTCATGGACAGGCATGGGCTATTCCTTCGTTATTTCTACATCAGTTAAGCAGGTAAAAGGTCTGGAGTTGATTCTAAGTGTGCCATTTGCATTTGGAAGCTGTTGCTCTGAACCCACAGCATGCAGTCAAAGGATCTCTCCATGCAAGTGAAACAGACAATTGTTAGGCTTCAAAAACAAAACAAATCCATCAGAGAGATAGCAGGAACATTCGGAGTGGCCAAATCAACAGTTTGGTACATTCTGAGGAAAAAAGATCGCACTGGTGAGCTCAGCAACATGAAAAGGCCTGGACGTCCACAGAGGACAACAGTGGTGGATGATCGATGAAGAAAAACCCTTTCAGAACATCCAGCCAAGAGAAGAACACTCTCCAGGAGGAAGACTGGTCACTGTCAAAGTCTACAATCAAGAGAAGACTTCACGAGAGCAAATACAGAGGGTTCACCACAAGGTGCAAACAAGGCCAGATTAGACTTTGCCAAAAAACATCTAAAAAAGCCAGACCACTTCTGGAAAAGCATTCTTTGGACAGCTGAAATTAAGATCAACCTGTACCAGAATGACGAGAAGGAAAAAAAGTATGGAGAAGGCTTGGAACAGCTCATGATCCAAACCAAAGCATACAACATCATCTGTGGAACATGGTGGAGCGTGCATGGCTTCCAGTGGCATTGGGTTACTGGCGTTTAGTGAAGACGTGGCAGAAGACAGAAGCAGCCGGATGAATTCTTAAGTGTATAGGGATATACTGTCTGCCCAGATTAAGCCAAATGCAGCAAAGCTGATTGATTGGGCGGCGCAACATGGTACAAATGGATGATGACCCAAAACATACAGCAAAAGCAACCCCGGAGTTTTTGAAGGTAAAAAAGTGGAATATTCCGCAATGGCTAAGTCAATCTCCTGATCTCAACCTGATTGAGTATGCATTTCACTTGCTGAAGACAAAACTAAAAGCAGAAAGACCACCAAACAAACAACAACTGAAGTCAGCTGCAGTAAAGGCCTGGTAAAGCAGCACAAAGGAGGAAACCCAGTCTGTGGTGATGTCCATGAGTTCCAGACTTAAGGCAGTCATTGCCTGCTAAGGATTCTAAACAAAATATAAAAAAAAAACATTTTACTTATGATTATATTTATTTGTCCAATTACATTTGAGCCCCTGAAAATGGGACGACTGTGTATAAAAATGGTTGTAATTCCTAAGCATTTTATGTTATATTTCTGTTCAACCTCATTGAATTAAAGTCTGCACTTCAGTTTAATCTAGTTTCATTTTAATTCTACTCTGGTGGCATACAGAGCCGAAATTATGAAAATTGTGTCAGTGTCTAAATGTATATGGACCTAACTGTATATTCCACCATTGTCATGCCACTTGGGAGTTTTGAAGTAGCTTTTCACATTCAGGTTATTCAGAGAAATGCATTAGCTTGCACAGGCTGCAGTAGGCTGGTCATGTACAAGTTGCAACTTGGGATCATTGTAAATTCTTTGCAGTCTGCTGACCCTTTACACTAATGCAGCTCTGGTTTTCTGTTTATGTGCTGTATCTGTCCCCACTCACCTCTAATATCAGTCCTTACCTTACTGTCCCATTAAGCATTTAAGGTCCTCTTCAGCAAAGCTGGCGCTGCTGTCCTGAGTGTTCAGATTATCTGTTTATATTATGATTTGCAGTGCTTTCACTGTTCGTTATAAACCTCTTACTTTAAAATATTTAGTTTCAATGTAATGTTTTGTGGCCTGAATGCATCTCTATGATTGTGGTTTTATGTTTCTTAGTAACTACGGGCCGACAATTGCTGTTCAGAGTGAGGCGGCCAAGCAGAAGTGCCAGCAGGTCCTTTGGCTGTACGGAGAGAATGAGGAGATCACGGAGGTTGGAACCATGAATCTCTTCATCTACTGGACCACAGAGAACGGAGGTGAGAGGGAGAATAGCTTCTAGAAACTCTGAATTAAAAGCTTCTGCAGTCCTAACATATGTTTGTAGGTGCAAACGTGTGCTTTAGTACCCAAAATGTGCTTATTTAAATGTACACATTGTAACTGTTGGCACTTTAGTGGTTAATAAACAAAACTGCATGCGGCTTGTGGAAAAATATTTTAGCCAGAGCTACTTCTCTCTGTTTATGGATATGACGAGTCAAGCAGGTACTGGGTACTCCACAGCGGTTGTCCTACCAACAGGTCTACAGAAACAATCGTCACAACTCATCCCATTCATGTCAACAAAGGCACTTAAAGGGATAGTTCACCTAAAAATAAAAATTCTGTCATTAATTACTCATGTAATCTCATGTCGTTCCAAACCCGTAAGACCTTAGTTCATCTTCAGTACACGTATTAAGATATTTTTAATTAATAGACAGCAACGCAACTACCACGTTCAAGGCCCAGAAAGGTAGTAAGGACATCATTAAAATAGTCCATGTGACATCTGTGGTTCAACTGTAATTTTATGAAGCTACGAGAATACATTTACTCTTCCGTGTCAGTCTTCGATGTGCGTTCATGAGAGTAAGGTACTTGCACACTGAGTCTTGCTACGTATGCGAAAACTCAGAAAATCGAACCTGGTCCAAATTTTTCTTTTACTACGGACGAAAGTTTCGGAGGCAGTGTGCAAACGTGATTGACACAACACAAGGTCGTATTTATTTTTTAATGTGGGAAAATTTTGGACGATAATTTCGGATTCAGTGTGCAAGGACCTTAAAGTTGAACCACTGATGTCACATGGACTATTTTAAAGGGGTCATATGATGCGATTTCAAATTTTCCTTTCTCTTTGGAGTGTTACAAGCTCTTGGTGCATAAAGAAGATCTGTAAAGTTGCAAAGACTGAAGTCTCAAATCCAAAGAGATATTCTTTATAAAAGTTAAGAGTCAGCCACACCTACCTAAAACGGCTCGTTCTAACACGCCCCCACATACCTACGTCACGATGTGGGAAGATTTGCATAACGCCGCCCAAATGTTCATGCAAAGAAAGAAGGCGTAACTTTTATTCTCGCTGTAGTATTGTTGTTGCCACCGCCGCCATGTTGTGGAGATGCTGTGTGTTTCGTTGTGAAAGCGAAACTACTTTGTTTGGCCTTCCAAAAGAGGACGATATCCGCTTCATAATGCCTGGAGCTGATCCTTGCTGGTTGCTGAGGAAATACTAGAACTTTGCGCCGTGGATCACCGGATCGTCGTTCACTGTGGACGAAGCATCCAGAGTCCAGCACGGGGTCGTCACAAGTGGTTGCCGCAAGCCCGCCCGCCGCGCCGTTCTTAAGCCCACCGGCCGCCGCTCACTCAAGCCGGCCTCCGCTCACTCTAGCCGGCCGCCGCTAACTCTAGCCCCTGGCCTCTGCTCACTCTAGGCCACCGCGTGTGACGCTGTGTTTCGTTGTGAAAGCGAAACTACTTTGTTTGGCCTGCCAAAAGAGGACACGACTAGAAATCAGTGGTTAAGTTGACAAAATAATGTTCTTTTTAGCAGCATCATATGACCCCTTTAATGATGTCCTTACTACCTTCCTGGGACTTGAACGTGGTAGTTGTGTTGTTTTCTGTAGAGGGTCAGAAAGCTCTCGGATTTCATCAAAAATTGTGTTCTGAAGATGAATGAAGGCCTTACAGGTTTGGAACGACATGAGGGCGAGTAATTAATGACAGAATTGTTATTTTTCTGTGAACTATCCCTTTATGTACCTTTGTTGACACATATGGACCAGTTGTAACTCTTTTGTTCTGTAGACAGTATGTTATATTGTTTTAGGAATAATACAAAAGCATACTACCCATACTTTTTTGTGTGTAAAAATACTTAACAGGGTTCTGCAGTCATGAAACACTTGGAAATATGAGACAACCATGATTTGCAAGCCTAGAAATGTCTTGAAAATAAATAAAATAAAAAAATTATGGAAATCTCTATCATGAACATTTGTTCAAATTTAAGTTGTGCTCTTCTCTACAATATTTAAATGGCTAGAAATATTTGTGTGTGTGTGTGTAGTCTCTATCAAGTGATTTTAAAAATCCTTATTCGATAATCATGAAGGAATAAAAAAAGTAATCAATAAAATGGTATGGAAGCCCTGACAAGAAAAAAAAATTCACAGTGTATATTGCTTCCGGTCCATTTCTTACTCTTAAAACAGCAAGGTTAAGTCAAGTCAACTGCATGTGCAGTGTGGCCTGCTGTATAGTTTGTCAAGATGTTGACATTTAGTCATTTGGTTTTCCATGAAGAATGATTGTCTCCCTCTGCTGGTGGTAAAGTTTAATGCATCTTAATGTATTTGTTGACATTTGCATCTTTATAGAGAAAGAACTGGTCACCCCTCCACTGGATGGCATCATTCTTCCAGGAGTCACCAGGCAGTCGCTGCTGGACCTTGCTAGAGAATGGGTGAGAAACAAGAATGGAAAGGGGGAAGTTTTTCAACTCTCACCTTCATGTGTTCTCTAAAACATTCATATCTGTCTAGATCGCAAAACCATATTTGTACGATAATATTCAAGTAATTGACATATCAGTGACACATTAAGGACATGTGCTATTCTAGCACTATGGCATTCTTTTTAATACCATGTAATACTATGAAAATACTATGGTATATGAATATGAAAATTGCTCAGTAACATGTTGCATATCAAGTACCAAGACGTCTGTTGCCATACCTGTATCATAGCTCTGCCATAGTACTGTTTGTAAGGGTTGCGTGTCTTTTTCAGGGGGACTTCAAAGTGACAGAGCGCAGGGTTTTAATGAAGGAGCTGATAGACGCTTTAGATGACGGACGGATTCTGGAGGTGTTCGGTTCGGGCACTGCATGCGTGGTGTGTCCAGTTGGCAGTCTGCTCTACAGAGGACAGGTAACGCTTCTCTAGTGCAAATGTCCACTGACAGCATCTTGCCAGTGTAGTAAACATTTGTACATTTACTGCAAACACAGTTCTTCTTCTTTAAATCTTTTAGACTTACCAAATTCCCACAATGAAGAACGGACCGGACCTTGCCAAGAGATTCCATAAGGAGCTCACTGACATCCAGGTAGAGAAGTTTTTCAAATAGCCCTTGAATTAATAATAAATAATTTTTTCTTTCTTTCTTTCATTCAATTGTTACACTGTCTAAACCTCTGCCCTGTTTCTCTATGTACAGTATGGACGCACTCAGAGGGACTGGGCACCGGTGATCATCTAACTGATCTGACGCAGGTGTCATGTCTAAAACCTCTCATCTCAGGTGTTATTCTACAGTAACAACCTTTCTAAACAGAAAACCACCTATTAAATGTATGCAGTCTTTCCAAATATCCTTACATGCTTGCTTGGATATCCATATGGCACAATTTGTAGCACTAGAGATCGTCCTTAAACCTAAGCTCAAGCGTCATAAGCCATAAGCAACTATAGGCAACAAGCAAATATTTTCTCCTTGCAATAGTTACTGATCCAATTTTCTTTTTTTTATCAACCCATCATCTTTTGCTGTCTCCTAAAATGTTATTTTCCGACAACTTCAACTTCGACTTCTGAGAAGGTTCAGACTTCAGCATGTAATCATTTTAATGTAAATGTTCATTCACTGAGCTGCTTGTTTGTTTGTGTAACAGGAGAACAGACGTCACAATTTTCTTCCTTACTAGCAAGAGGACAGAGCTATTAATTTTGCATCAATTTAAACAGTTGTTTTTTTTTTTAAAGACACTAAATTGGTCTTTTTAAGTCCAAATTTGTAAAGAAAGTGTAAATGATTGTATATGTCTGTTTAGAGAAGGACAACGACAATGTGTTATCGCCAGATTTAGATGATTTAAAACCATGAGCTGAACTTATGCACGCACAAAGGGCTTCAGGACGGCCCAGACATAGCAGCTCTTGAGACCACTAGAAAAGTCTTGATGTGATAATCGTAGGTGATCATTACTAGGCTCTGTGTGTGTTATCTATATGATATCCAGAACAACAATGTGACCTGTATGTACATGTGTTTGTGAAATATATGATGTTCACTGAACATGTAGAATGTATCGGTTTTAACTTATTTCTGGTGTTGTTTTAATGGTTAGAATACCTATCGTTCATTGTGAAACCCCCCTTTTTTCTTCATTTTAAACTTGTATTTTAATCCATGCACTCCACATCTCTTGTGTCGAAGTGCCTGATGGAGTTGGCTGTTACTTTCTCTTTGTTGGCTGTATCTTTCACATTTTTACTGTGCTGAGGGGCTGCTGCTGCACTAATGATTGGTTTGTTTTGTTTGAAGGGTTTTTCGAGAGTAGATGTCTTTACTTTTTCTGTTACTGTATTTTTACAAATAAATTCCATTTGCTTCCAAATACGTAATATGCTTTTGGCTTCAACCGCCTACAAATATTTGTTTCTGAAAATCTAGTTTACTTGGTTAAGCATAAATTTTGGTCAACGTTAATATTTGTAAAATGTTTAGGAACTTCTTCATTATTTGCTAAATTTCAATAACCAAAAACATGTCTGGTTCATATTTTATCCTAAAAGAAATCAAAAAGTATAAGAAAAAGTACCATTTTTAGTGCCATTAGGAATTTTGCGTAGTTTAATTTTTTTCATGACAATTAAGCCCATATCTGCCAACATTTCTCATTACTGTAATTACAACAATAGGATAATTATTCACCAGTGAGCATGACTGACTAAAAATCAAAACAGCCAAGCAAATATGCTTAAGTGTCACGTAAAGTCATAAAAATGTGTGTGTGTGTATATATATATATATATATATATATATAGTCTTAAAATACAAATAACCTTAATTTTCATTGTGCAGAATATATTTTCTTTTTTTCTTTTAGATTTGGTTTCGTGAGATTCCTATTTGTGTATTGCAAACATCACACTATAGTTTTGGTACATTTATTAAAGACTGTTCTTTTTAAGATTTTATTGTTTTTGGGTACAGATAACATTTTGATAAATCTTTCCTGTGATTCCGATTAACTCATAAACCATACCCCAATTTGATTGCATCTTTCATCTTAAAAAGACAAGAAATACAACTAAGAATTGTAAAAACTAAAAATTTGTATCCATTAATTAAGTATATTACTATAATAGGTAAAGAGAAGTAAAGATTACAGTAAATAAGAAGTGAAGAGATACATACTATATAACTTTTTGCAAGATGGATCCAAATTAGGAGTTCAATAAAGTCCATTATGAATTAATCTATTTTGTCGTCTAAGGCCTGGGACACACTAGACGATTTTCAAATCTTTAAACGATTTTAAAACCGTGGGAGACCACAGACATGAAGACAGTTCAACCGATTTTTAGCCTTAAGACCACAAATTGATAATTGTAGGAACGATTTCACAGTGACACGTGATCTCACGAACACTCGCGTGATCAAACGTGACTAGAGAAGAAAAACATTGTCAGCTGGCTCTACCGGCGCGCGTTCTGTTTCACGGTGAAAAACAAAGTATAACAAAGAATATGGGTGATGTTCTCTGCTTTCATGGCATGTTTGTGGCTGCCAAGTTTCAGCTATAGAAGCACGCAACATCCAGTAGGTGACGCTTGCTCGCTCTCATTGGCCATCGCGGGTATCACGTCAGAGGCAGCCCGATCAAGAGTCGTAA